CTTCTGCTGACCAGCTTTTTGAAGATGCTGATTTCATTTTCCAGCATGATTTGGCACCTGCCCACACTGCCAAAAGCACCACATTTTTGTTAAATGTGAGCCAAAATCATCACAATTACAAGAACCAAAGACTTAAACTACTTCAGTCTGTGTGCATTGAATTTATTTAATACACGAGTTTCACAATTTGAGTTTATATTGAGATGCACCTGTATGTATATATATATATATATATATATATATATATATACTGGTATTATTTCACCCCAAAATCAAAAAGAAATTGTTTTGAAATTAACATTATGATAAATCAAACGAATTGTTCATCCAAAAATGAAAATTTGTGACAATTTACTCACCCTCAGGCCATCCAAGACGTAGATGAGTTTTGTTTTTTATTAGATTTGGAGAAATGTAGCACTGCATCACTGTCTCAGCAATGGATGCTCTGCAGTGAATGGGTGCCGTCAGAATGAGAGTCCAAACAGCTGATAAAAACATCACAATAATCCACAAGTAATCCACACTTCAGTCCATCAATTAACATCTCGAGGAGCCAAAAGCTGCATGTTTGTAAGAAACAAATCCATTTTAAGACATTTTTAACTTCAAACCGTTGCTTCTGACTAAAATATGAGTCCATGATCCATAATAATGCTACATCCAGTGAAAAAGTGCATCTCCTGTTGTCTCTCACAGCAAAATCCAACCACGTATTTGTTTAGAGCTGTTTTGGCTGCTAACAGTGCTTGATATGTGCAGATTTCTCTCCTGATTCAGACCAGACCACGGACTTATAATTTAGTCAGAAGCAACGGTTTGAAGTTTAAAATGTTTTAATTTTGGATTTGTTTCTTACAAACACGCAGCCTTTGTCTTCTCCAGATGTTAACTGATGGACTGGAGTGGTGTGGATTACTTGTGGATTATTGTGGTGTTTTTATCAGCTGTTTGGACTCTCATTCTGACGGCACCCATTCACTGCAGAGGATCCATTGGTGAGCAAGAGATGGAATGTTACATTTCTCCAAATCTGTTCCCATTTTGGCCTGAGGGTGAGCACATTGCAAATTTTTGGGTGAACTATTCCTTTAACTCACCTTGTAGACACTGATCTGACCCAGCTGAAGAAAACACTCCCTGGTAAAAGAGAATAATTTCACTGCACACTATGGTGTTGAGCCAAAAACACAGAGTCAAGCCCAGCAAACAAGCAGTCAGAAACCATGTCAGAGAGCTAATTAAAGGTCTGAAGTGTGAGGCGGCTGGTAATCCTGCTCACTTCTGTGTATCAGCATCAAACACTGCAGAAAATCTGGACTTTGCAAAGGTCAGTTATGTCCAGCAGTATCTTCAAAACGAAGATTGGATATTTATACAGTCACAGCAAATGCCTTCGTATATTCTGTCATAGTTAGATTCCCAAAAATGCAGCATTTTTTTGGTCCCACAAATAAAAAAAGGGTTAAAAACACGTATTAACTGAGGTAATTTTCTGCAAAAACATTTCATTGATAAATTACACTTCGTGTCACTCATAAATATTACTTGAAAATTATTTCCGAGGTTTAGCAGGTTTATTTTGATGCTTGTTCCTATTGCGACAAAATCACAGGCAACTTTACTGTAGCTTTAATAAATGACAAACACACAGAACCACTTAAAGTCTCATTAATCTGTATTTATGATCGCTCAAGTAAAGCAAATAATTAAATGTAATCATCAAGATCATTCAGTAAATCAAGCTGCTTTGATTCTCACATCAGCTCAGGCTCTTTTCTGCAGATTTCCTCAGATATCTTCTCTGTTATTCTAACAAACTGTGTTCATCCCATCACACTGTCGCAGAGATTCAGAAGCCACAGAACATCTGACGCGACTTTCATGTTTAACCAGTGTTAAACAAAACCTCCCTGTAAACTGTTTGTTTGGTCTGTTTCTGCTTCTTGCATGCTATTTCAGTCTTTAGATACTCATAAAAGCAACATGGATTATAACCCAGCTATGACAAACATGACACCTGAGGATATTAGAAAGGGGTTAGATGTGTCATCTAACAAACCGCATAATGTTTGTCATAATACATTTAGAAGGAATCCATCATATGCAGCTGCCTGTGATTGAGGGATGCCTGAAAAATGTGATAAGCATTTATTATGCTAAAAATTCCTTTCATGTCAAAACTAGTGTTCTACATGGAAAGTAAAATTTATTTGATGTCAAAGCAAATTTATTCAATTTATCCAAGTCTAACAATAAATAACAGACATACTGGTAAACTATATGAAACCATGTCAATTCCATGACTATTATAAAACTTTCTTGATAAATGTATATACTGCAACAAATAATAAAAAACAGAGAACAAAACGTGCAGCCATAGACACTGAAAAAAAAGAGAAAGACTGCAGCGCTATCTGGTGGACATTTGGCAAATTACAGTGGGTACGGAAAGTATTCAGACCCCCTTAAATTTTTCACTCTTTGTTATATTGCAGCCGTCTGAATACTTTCCGTACCCACTGTATATGGAGCTGTTGAGCTGCTGGCTGTTGAATTAATTATAGCTGTAAGAATTACTAGTTGGTAATTTTTCGATAACCATTCACAGTGCCTGCACTTCCACTTGTGAGTCTCCTAGACTTAATTTATATGCACATTAAAAAGCACAGTATATATGCATATTATAAAGAGAATTCAGGTAAATTGAGACATTCTGTCTTCAAGATGACTTGAAAAAAAATGCCCCAACTGCAAACCACTGAACTGACCAACAATTGACCATCTGACAAATTAATGTCCATTCAGCCAAAACCTTTATCTACTAAGCAACTAAATTTGGTATTCAATAAAGTACTACTAAAAGAATAGTTGAGCCACAAATTGAAATAGTAATTTACTTATCTTCAAATGGTTTCAAACCTGTATGACTTTTCCCCTCTGTTGAACATAAAATATGGTGTTAAGCATAATAACAATCTCACTTTCATTGCACCTTTTTACCAGGGGAGAAGTCGTGGCCTAATGGTTAGAGAGTCAGACTCGTAACCCAAAGGTTGCGGGTTCGAGTCTCGTACCGGCAGGGATTGTAGGTGGGGGGAGTGAATGTACAGTGCTCTCTCCCACCTTCAATACCACGACTGAGGTGCCCTTGAGCAAGGCACCGAACCCCCAACTGCTCCCTGGGCGCCGCAGCATAAATGGCTGCCCACTGCTCCGTGTGTGTGTTCACAGTGTGTGTGTGTTCACTGCTGTGTGTGTGCACTTACGATGGGATAAATGCAGAGCACTAATTCCTAGTATGGGTAACCATACTTGGCCACATGTCACGTCACTTTCACTTTATCATACCCTTTCAATGTTCTGCTTCTTCAGCGTGTCGCTGTCCATGGTCCTGAATCTGAAAAAAGGTCAGATAGACAGCTGTCAATCATTTTACATTCACTGACACCTTACATTGCATTCAAGTCATACATTTTAGCAGTTTATAAAACCATGATAAAATCACTACCAACACAATTACTGCAATCATGAAACATGACGAGCTATGTAAAGCATGCAATAGTTAGCAGTGGCTAATAAATTGGGCTACAATAGTTTTATTGAACAGAAAAGAAAATAAAACATGACAGAGACATTGAAACTAGTGAAATTCACACATGCAATCAAATAAATTAAACACTAAAAAAATGTTCTCTTCGAATAATTGCTTCTATCCATTCAGCTTCTCACGATAATGTCAGAACTTGATTTTACTAACCAATAATTTAATTCAAAATTGGGTGAAAGTGCAATACATTTAGCTTTTTAGTGTTAACAACTTTGCTTAATTTTTAAACTATTTGTAGGATATGTTTTTTTTTTTTCTCAGATACTGGATGTAGTATTTCGTTTCTTTGATTACATGTGTGAATTTCACCAGAAGCATGTTAATTTAAATGTGCGCGGTTGTCGACATCTGCTGTCAGGAGCTTCACCGAGCACCACCACCACCATCATCCTCCTCCCCACCCCTCTACCTCTCCCTGCGGGAACGACAATATCCAGCTCTTAACATTCCCAATTTGGAATTGCAAATCCTCGCCAAAGGAGGACCCAGTTTGAGCGGCATAAATTGCCACGTTCTGTCTTTAATGGCGTCAGAAACGCGTCTCACGCTCGCGTTATCGTACAGGAGGTATGGCGGCTAATCAGACGCTCTGTGAATCCTCATCAGTCAGATTTTCAATGCATGCGTTTGATATGATTGTAATACGATCATTTAAGCATAAAACCGATCTTTAATAGCCATTCAAAAGATACATATGCGCGCATACGTTGCACAAATAGCCTAATCAAATCGCAGGTGTTGTTGCAAACAGGATTAAGCGATGAAATTCAATTTCAAAATGCATGACGGAAGGGACATACTGATTTGAAAGCGCTGGTTGCATTGGTGTGCGTTTGTAATTACTGGATGCTGAGGAGTGTGGGGAGAGTTTGAGGTGGTCCACACCCCGTCATTGTTCCAGCCATGTCCCCTCCAGCATCCGCTGCGACAGCCAGTGAGAGCAGCACCACCACTGTGTTCGAGGACGACCCAGACGGCACTAGAGAGGAGGTACTCAATAACTGATGCTGTTTTCATTTTGCAGTCATGACGATGCATGAATGGCGCGTGATAAGTGAAACAAGAAATGTAAACATGAGCATTGATGTTTACAACATGGAAGCATGCATGTTTATGTGGACATCACTTGGTGAGAATGCATGAGCAGAGATTGGCTTTATCAAATAACAGGCGGCCAGTTCGACCAGTCTTTGCTATTGTAAGCAATAGAGGTCAAATCCATGATACTACATAACAAATGACAACCAGTATGACATATAATGTCATGTCAGACATTAACAATGCTGATTGATCACATAATCAACCATTATAGTGAATAAACAATACACTGGCTAGGCCAATATGTGGTCATGGTTATTTGGCAGATTACTGTTGGTGTAGTACTGCAGACTAAACCAGAATAAAATGGTTTGCTAATTGGTATGCTGGTCTTAAAACATGAAAGCATGCAAAAAAGCTTTTACAATCAGCTAATATATGAAGGTAGAATGACGTCAAAAAGATTTGCATACGCAGGGTAAGAGTTGTGGAAGTGTACATAAGACTGTACGCGTAAATTAAATTTGCATGCGCAAGAGAAGCTTTGTAAAGGTGTAAATCGTGTTTCAAGCGCAAGAAAAAATTATTTGCAGCATTTTACTGTTACTCGTAAGTGTAATTCATGTATTGTGAAACTGCAGCTTCGTGCTAACGCAAAATAAATATGATCTGCATGCTTCTGACTTCCATTTTTCCGCGCTTACACTTTTGGCACGTTTTTTTCGCTAAAATACGGTCAAAAGTTCTGCAAGCCTGTGAACAGTGATTTGCAAGCGAAAACAACAGTTTAAAGAACTGCAAAACGGATTGACTGCATAGAACCAGTCTGTATGTGTACAAAACTAACTGTTGCAAATGTCTAAATGACTTGTTGTGCATGTGGGGCAAAAAGTTCCCGAAATAAACCGATATGTACAGCTCCATCTTT